AACTCCAGCTCAGCCAGAGAAACAGGTATATCACAGTGAGACAAACATGTTTGTAGGGGAGACTGTAGCTGTACTCTGCCAGCAGACTTACCTGTCTACCCAGGTGTTGCTTAATAGGGCATTAAAGACAGTCTGGATTCCTGGAATAGTTATCAACTAGTGGTGGGGAAAAAAGCTAATTTACATTGTAGGATGTGCCCAAGTGGAACTGTTTTAACAATCAAATGAAAAATTATTATTGTCATTATTATATATTACTATTCTTACTAATAACCACCCAAAAGAAAGAGCTCAATTATCATATTATAAGGCTTTGGAACTTGTGTTTCCATGTGTGAATCAAGACGTGTCCCACTTCTCTTTGACTTGCACCAGCAAAGGGATTCTCATTAAGGCCAAGGGTGAACAAGCTAAAAAAGAACGTCCTGTGAATGCCACAAAGGACAACATAACCTTAGGTTAGTGGTGGGGGCGCCTGTAGTGTCTGCTCACCCGCTGTCTTTCCAAGACCACGGACTGTGGCAGGGAGTCATAGTTGCCCTCTTGATAAGCAAACGTTTCCAGGTCATCTAGCTGGGTTTTGAGCTGTAGTATAAGTTCCTTCTGCTTTTCCCTCTGGGTTTCCAGACGTTCTCGTTTTTCCTGCTCACTCTAAAACAAGAAAATACTTAGGTCTATTTCATAGGAAAAGGAAAAACCGGGGCACATTAAGAATCCTCTCAAGCTTATAATAATGACTAGTGAAACATGTAATGTTTCCAAATAATCCCAATGACATACAGTACTCATAAGATAGATTCAAAATGAGAATAAAGATTTCATCCAAGGCAACTTACTAAATAAGTTTTCTTTAAGAAGATACTTGTCCTTCATGGGAAGTAGAGTATGAATATAATGAAGCCTTTTGTTAAGACAGCTTTTCTACCCCCCTGCCCAAAAGGTCTAGTTAGGATTAAGACAACTTATCTTAGCCAAGACAGCCTCCCAGGAACTAAACATGCCATCCTCCACAGCCAATTACCACAGATCAACTCCTGAATACTTTCTGCAGCCAAAATTTGCAAGAGAATCTAGAGATAAGGGTGTAGAGAAAGGATTTATAACTCATAACCGGTTTTCTTAAGGCTCAAAACCCCTCCAATGTATTATAGACTTCTGTAAAATCAAAAGAATTAAAGCAGGTGCCTGGAGCAGTGAAAAAAAACAAAAACAAAAAAAACACAAAATCCCAAAGCCAAGGAATAGGAGTGGGAAGGTAACCATGTTAAAAAAATAAAAGAAATAAAAGAAAAGGTCTGGTAAGTTTCCCTACCAGTGAGTGCTTTCTCCACTGTTGGCTGCTGGGTAGTTCCTGCATTTAAATGATTAAAAACCCTTCAGGGTGGTAATCTTGCTAGTGTATTTTCAAATACTAGTTCTTCCTTAACTTTGGGCATCAAAAACAAAACAAAGCAAAACCAGCAAGTCACATGCAGGTGTAAGGTTGCATTTTAAACCAGCAGTCTATAAGATATTAAATTTAACCTTCAAATGGTACTTACCAAGCCCTCCAGAAGATGAGAGAACAAATGCAAAAGAACAAATTTACTTTTTTTTGTTCAAACTATTTTTAAAAAAACAATCTTCCTACTTTAGCTTTATTCAATATGAAAGCAAGCCTTTTCTCAGGGTACTTCCTCAGGATATACCTTTCTGAGTGTCATGGTTTCTTAGAATCCTATTCCTCCTCTCTAGCATGGGAGGGCCTAGTTATCCTTCAGGTTTCCTAGATCTCCCTAGGCAAGGCTGACCACTTCTCGGTCTGTGTTCTGTTCACACTTCTCTAGCTTGTGTCTCTTTTTTTTTTTTTTAAGGTTTTATTTATTTATTCATGAGAGACACGGGGGGGGGGGGCGCAGAGATACAGGCAGAGGAAGAGGGAGAAGCAGGGTCCCTCTGGGGAGCCCAATGTGGGACTCGATCCCAAGATCCACGGGATCATGCCCTGAGCCAAAGGCAGACGCTCTACCGCTGAGCCATCCAGGCATCCTATTCAAGTCACTTTGTAATTCTTTGTTGAGGATTCTGTCCCCCAGGCTATGAATTTCCTTTAGAGCAAAGGCCTTGACTTTGCACCCCCAATGCCTAGCACCATGTCTGGCACAGGGTAAGCTCTCAATACACATTTGCTACATGCTACTGAACTAAAACAAGCACAGAACAACACATTCCAAATAATGAGTTCTGACTGGATGACATGGTCTAGCCAGATCAAGGAGAAAGAACAGGGAAAGTCTGTTTTTGTTTTCATTGTATCCCAACTTTGTGAAGCCAAGAAAGAAGAAGAAGAAAAAAAAACAGGGTATGAATTCCGATTCTGTTTTCACGAGTATGTCTGCCAAACTCTGTCATTTGCCATGGAGGTTACAGTGTGCTATTTACTGGAATGGGGGTAAATGAGGGTAACAGGAGACAATGAGCTCTGGTTCCAGGCAATGAATAATGGAAATCATGGCCAGTATGCAGTGAGATAAATACTGCTTTTAAAAAAAACTAGGACTAATAAAAAGTAAAAGCATTTGGCTCAAACATGTCCCCCCACTTAAGTATTTTTTTTTAAGATTTTATTTATTTATTCATGAGAGACACACAGAGAGAGAGAGAGGCAGAGACACAGGCAGAGGGAGAACCAGGCTCCATGCAGGGAGCCCAACGTGGGATTTGATTCCCGGTCTCCAGGATCATGCCCTGGGCTGAAGGCAGCATTAAACCCTTGAGCTACCTGGGCTGCCCCCACTTAAGTATTTTATGTAATTTTGCGTGCATCTGTTGACACCTGATCAGGTAGTACCAAAGTGGTGCTATCACTTTTTTTTTTTTAAAGATTTTATTTATTTATTCATGAGAGACAAAGAGAAAGGTAGAGACACAGGCAGAGGGAAAAGCAGGCTCCCTGCAGGGAGCCTGATGTGGGACTGGATCCCAGATTCCAGGATCACGCCCTGGGCCAAAGGCAGATCTCAACCACTGAGCCACCCAGGCATCTCTATCACTTTCTTTCTTTCTTTTTTTTTTAAGTTGTACTGTTTCCAAAAGTGAAAATGAATAACCAAAGAGCACCAAATTCACACAGAAACTTTGATGCTCCTTACTCCTGAAGAGGAGGACTCTGGCCACAGGAATTCTTTCTATGCTTTCTATTCCTTTTTTTTTTAATTAATTAATTTTTTTTTTTTTTTATGATAGTCACAGAGAGAGAGAGGCAGAGACACAGGCAGAGGAAGAAGCAGGCTCCATGCACCGGGAGCCTGACGTGGGATTCGATCCCGGGTCTCCAGGATCGCGCCCTGGGCCAAAGGCAGGCGCCAAACCGCTGCGCCACAGGGATCCCTATGCTTTCTATTCCTTAAGAGTCTGGCAATTTAAGGTGGCTGCTCCTTGTGTAAGGAGCCATGGGCATGTGGAGAGAAGGGTGGAACAGTAAACACAAGACTGCACTGGAAACATTTCAGATTAAAATAAGCCAATATCTGCTACTGATAAGTCTTCTTGGTTAAAATTTCATTGGGAAGAAAGGCACAAATGGGTTGTAACTTGACGAATGAAAAGATGGAGAAGACAACAAGTCTCTTCAACACCTCCAACAAGCTATCTGCGACTATGCACTTCCAGAGATTCAAAGACTGTAAGGAAATATTCCCTTGGCATGGCATACTGACTCTCATTACTCAGTGGAGGATCTTGTCACAGTTAGCAAAGGGGCTTCATTTATAATTACCTAGTTATTAGGCAGGATGGGCAAGGGGGTTTAAAATACCAGCGTGAGGAAATGCATATAATCAGGAGTCGTGTTTCTTTTAATTACTAAGTGATCCTGCTGTTCACGGAAGCTCCCATCCACACAAAAGTCCAAATACTAAAGACATTTTCCCGATTCCCAGGAAACAGGAACAGGCAGTACACCTAAATTTCCATGGATTCCAGTTCACTTGCCCTTCATCAGCCAATGTTCTCAACCTCAGGTCGGGGTACTCTATCGGCAAATGTGCTCAAGCCATAGGTACATTATGAAGCAATGGCAAGGTGAGCGGGAGCAGGACTGCTTCGGTTGGCTGCTGTTGCCCTCTGAACACTCTGCTCACCACTCTTCCGTCCCGCACGTCCCCAGACTTGTATGTCTTTCCACACCTTAGGTGGACACCCCTCAGCATCAGGTTCCCAGGCCTGTCCGCCTTTCCTGCAGCAAGCCTCGCACACCGGTCTCACCACCACGTCTGGGACGCGCGTAGTCCTCACCGAGACCAGCCGGCTAAACGCCACTGCTACCTCCGCCCCCTCAGCACTGCCACCCACCTAACCCCCTATTCCCACGTCCCTCGGGGCCCGGCCCCGGCTGCTACCTGGTTCTCGCTCCGCAATCGTGGCCGGTCCCCTGGCAGCCCATCGCCATCGTCGCTGGCGGGGTCCTCGGGCCCCCCGTAACCCAGGACGTGCGGGCAGCCGCGGAACGCGAAGTCCTCGAGCTCGCGCAGGAGGCGCTGCTGCTCCGCGGGCGCCCCGCGCACCACCTGGCGCAGGCGGAACTGCACTTGCGCGAAGTGCGAGGACAGCGCGAGCAGCGCCGAGTCCAGACGCCGCCGCTCTGCCCGCAGCCGCCGCAGCGTGCGGCCGGGCGAGTCCGGAGGGGAGCCAGGGGCCGCGCCGGGCTCCTCGGCCGCCGCCTCTTCCGAGAACGCGGCCGTCCCAGGCCCGGCCTCCGCCACTGCCCCCACCGGGGCCCAGCGCACTGCCTCGCACGGTGGCAGCGACTCCTCTTCCTCTTCGTCCTCGTCCTTCGCTTCTGGACCGACGGCTGCCACCACCTTTACCGGCTCCGCAGACGCTTCGACAGCCGCCATCTTCCCGGAAACGCCGCCACACGTCAGCCGCGCCCCCTCGCTGCCATGGCAACGGCGCGCGGTCCGGGAAACCCGCAGGGGCGGGTGGGCGGGGCTACACGTCAGATGGTTCGCGGTCACCAGAGGCTGGCCTTCCCAGATAAAATCGGGCCAATAATTTTTTATTGAGCGCCTATTGTGAATCAGACACTGGATGCACTAAGCGTTGGAGAAACGGATGAATGAAGCCGGGACAAGACCTTCGGTGTGCATCTAGTGTGGCCCTTGCCCTGGCTCCCCGCGGGTGGGTCGTCTGTTCCTAATCTGTACGTTTCTGGAGACCCTGAGATCTGAAGGGCTGCCGGGATTATGCTCTTCCCCTGTTTCTCCGGAGTGCAGATCCCTTGGCTGAAGGGCCACGTTCCCCCTTCTTCTACAGCCTTCCCCACCATATAAGGAGAGGCAGCTGCTGGGGGCGTCCCCAGGATCTAAAGATAGCAGTCCCTGCCTCAGGACTCCAAATGCCACCGGGTAGCGGGAGCCGCCATGGCAAGGTGAGTGTTTCCGGTTGCCCTGTTCCTTGGATATTGCTTGTCCCACATTTTCTGGGCGCTTTGGGTCCTGTGAGGTCCCATGGAAACTCCAGATTCCAGGTCTCTCTAACTTTGGGGTGGTGAGGAAAGTGTGACCTGAATGTTCTCCATAACTCCCTGCCTCTCAACTCTGACACTCTATTCTTCCCAGCCTCACCCCCCCACCCCACCCCCACTCCCATCACTCACCTTTCACCCCCTTCTGTCTTATTTAGCTCCACTTTGACAGGGCCCGTTACCATAAAACGTCCCTAAATTTTCCCCTCCTTCCACCTTTCCCAAATGCCCTCAGTCTCCCCTCTCCCACCCCTATGAAGCCCCACCGCAACTCCTCTGCAGGCAGCATGCCCGGACGCTGTGGTACGACCGGCCCAAGTATGTGTTCATGGAGTTTTGTGTTGAGGACAGCACCGACGTCCATGTGCTCATTGAAGACCACCGTATTGTGTTCAGGTAACGGCCCACCTCTCTGGAGCTCCTGGTTTCCAGGAGCCTTTCCCTTCTGATTCCCCTACGCTCAGCCTCCTGCATTGATCGCCTCAGCTCCATTGTCTCCTCAGCTGCAAGAATGCCGATGGAGTGGAGTTGTACAACGAGATTGAATTCTATGCCAAGGTGAACTCCAAGGTAACTGTGGGGTGCGACATCAAGGTCTGAATAAAAGGCTGCCTGGAAAATTGGAGATTCATTCTAAACCTCACATCCTAAGAATGAGGCTCTCTCTCTGGCAGGACTCCCAGGATAAGCGCTCTGGTCGCTCCATTACTTGCTTTGTGAGGAAATGGAAGGAGAAGGTGGCCTGGCCCCGACTCACCAAAGAAGATATCAAGGTAGGTGTTTGGGGAATGACCTACTCTTTCTCCTGTGCTACCTATGCACCTGGAGACATTGGTCTGGGAATCACCCTTGGCTCCTTTCCCACCAACTTTCAATCATTCACAAAGTCCTATTTGACTTACTAAATATTCTTGAATCTATTATTTCATCTTTTCCTACTTCAGGCCTTATCCATCACTGGATGAGGTTTATTGCATATTTGTAGCCCTACCCTCAGTGCATCCTTTGCAATGCTCCCAGCATGGTCTATCTAAAACACACATCTGATCCTGTTACTCTTCCACCTAAGACACTCCAGTGGCTTCTTCCTGGCTAAAAGTTGAAAATTGGGGGGTGCCTGGGTGGCTCAGTTGGTTAAGCATCTTCCTTTGGCTCAAGTCATGATCCCAGGGTCCTTGGATGGAACCCTGTGCAGGGAGCCTGCTTCTCCCTCTCCTCCCCCTCTTGTATTCTCTCTTGATATCTCTCTCTGTCTCTCAAATTGATAAATAAAATATATTTTTAAAGATTTTATTTGTTTATTCATGAGAGACACACAGAGAGAGGCAGACATAGGCAGAGGGAGAAGCAGGCTTCCTGTGGGGAGCCTGATGTAGGACTCGATAAATAGTTTCAATTATTTATTAAGAAAATAAATAGGGATCCCTGGGTGGCGCAGCGGTTTGGCGCCTGCCTTTGGCCCAGGGCGCGATCCCGGAGACCCGGGATCGAATCCCACGTTGGGCTCCCGGTGCATGGAGCCTGCTTCTCCCTCTGCCTGTGTCTCTGCCTCTCTCTCTCTCTCTGTGACTATCCTAAGTAAATAAAAATTAAAAAAAAAAAAGAAAAGAAAATAAATAAATTCCCAAATGCCTAGAGCTGGAGCTTTAGATAGAGCTGTGTGCACACCACACTTTAATCCCTTTCATTAGTTCCCTAACTCTTTCAGGCATTTGAGTTTGTCACTTCCTGCCCTTTGGAAGTGAATCCAAGCACCATAGCATGACATAAAAGCTCATGACCTGGCTATTCGTTCCTTCTGTAACATTATATCCCATTAGTCTCTCTACCTTAAACTTCACATTCCAGCCACAGCAAATGGCCTGCAGCTCTTTGGCACACACCAGTCTATTTCTCACTAATTTACCTTTGCTCAAGCTGGGCTTTCTTCCTGGAAAGCCTCCATCATCACTACCAGTGCCCACCTAACCCTTGCTCATCCGTGAAGTCTCTGCTACTCTAAGAAGCATAGGTTCCTATAGCTCCCTTCTGGATTTCCATAGTATCCCCTGTGTAAGCCATTAACACACTTTCCACATTGTATTATAATGATTTATTTAGTTTTCCCTTCCCTACTTGCTTCATGATGGCTGGGACTATATATCAAACATTTTAGTAATTCCAATGCCAAGCTCAGAGTCTGGCCCATAGGATATGTTCCATAAATGGCTGTTAAATAAATGAATGAATGACTTCTTTCCCTAAATGTGGGAACTTGGAACATGGGCCTCCAAGGGTTTTCTCTCGACTCCAGGGAATGCAGCTTGTCTATCTTGCTTGGTTGACTCCCATGATGCTTTATGACGTCTTTCTAGGTGTATTATTTCTAGTTGGTTGGCTTCTGGAGGGCCAAATTTCTATGCTTTTCTAGACCCTATGATGCCTGGCATTGTGCTTGGCACTTAGTAGGTTCCTGGAAAATCTTTGTGGAGGGTGATGATAACAGCCTGGAGAGGAATTAGTCAAAGAGGTGCTGTTGGAAAGACTGCGCTCTCACTGACCTTCTTTTCCCCAAGCATACCTCTGTGCACATGGCCATGCTCTTCTGGGCATTTCTGTGCTTCCTGCCCTGTAGTGCTCTACGATTTCCTCTTGCAGCCGGTGTGGTTATCTGTGGACTTTGATAACTGGAGGGACTGGGAAGGGGATGAAGAAGTGGAGCTGGCTCAGGTGGAACATTACGCAGAGGTAACACCATTTTCTGCCCTCCTGCCCATTGTTGTGTCTCCCTCCACGCATTTCTCTGGAGGACTGTCATCAGGGCTAGACAGACATATATGAGCGCCCCTCATTGGTGCTCATATTCTCTTCATGTTTTGTGCAACGTCTATTTAGTGGAACAAGAGAAATGATTACTAGTGAAACCATATACATGCCTTTACTCACTAAGTTAACAGAATTCTGAGAAAGTTTGGCAAAACCTTTCCAACTCTTCTGTAATTCTTGTTCTTTCTTCTGTTTTCTATGTGTGTGTATGTTTTTCCTGAGCCACACAAGTTCACCGAAGCTCAAATGAAGCATTATAAAAATTCACATCATAAAACAAATTACTAGATCCCATTAAGTTGCACCCTACCATACATTATTTGGTTTTAGAATTTTAGCTACTAATTATTCAAGTTGCAAAAACACCAACAGACCCTAACCTGGATTACTAAGGAAGGATGCTCCGTTGTGTGTCAATTGCCTTTTAAAAAGGCTATTGGAATGGGGATCCCTGGGTGGCGCAGCGGTTTGGCGCCTGCCTTTGGCCCAGGGCGCGATCCTGGAGACCCGGGATCGAGTCCCACGTCGGGCTCCCGGTGCATGGAGCCTGCTTCTCCCTCTGCCTGTGTCTCTGCCTCTCTCTCTGTGACTATCATTAATGAATAAAAAAAATTAAAAAAAATCTTTAAAAAGGCTATTGGAAAAAAAAAAGGCGATTGGGGCACCTGTCTGGTTCTGTTGGTAGAGCATGGGACTCTTGATCTCAAGACTGTTAGTTTGAGGGCACCCCTGGTGGCGCAGCGGTTTAGCGCCGCAGGCAGCCTGGGGTCTGATCCTGGAGACCCAGGGTCGAGTCCCGCGTCGGGCTCCCTGCATGGAGCCCGCTTCTCCCTCTGCCTGTGTCTCTGCCTCTCAGTCTCTCTCTCTCTCTGAATAAATAAATTAAAAAAAAAATACTTATAAAAAAAAAAAAAGACTGTTAGTTCGAGCCCCATGTCAGGTGTTACTTAATAAAATCTTAAAATAAATAAAAATAAAAGTAAAAATAAATGAAAAGGGGATCAATTTATTTTCTCCAATTCGTTCCAGTGATGTGTGAGGTGCTGTAAAGATAGGGCAATTATTGGGCTGGGACCATTCTCCTGTGGTCTGTCAATATAGAGGTTGCTCTCCCTTGGCCCTTCTCTCTTGTAATTACTTTTCTCTTTCCACTAGCTTTTGAAGAAGGTTAGCACCAAGAGACCTCCCCCTGGCATGGATGACCTGGATGTAAGTAAAGTCTGCCCTTCAAAAAAAAAAAAAAAAAAGTCTGCCCTTCAGCCCTTCAGTTTCCTTTTAGCTCTAAAAAAATAAGAGACTAGAAAGCTCTTACTGTGGTCCCTAGTACACAGTAGTACTTCTCAGTGCATGTCAAATTTGAATTTGACATAGGAAGCCGAATGTTCTTCTGCAGGCTGTAGAAAACCCCAGCAAGACCCTCCTCCCTCCATTTCCCCTCTCCTTCTCTATCTTGGAGCTGACCTGGGCCTGTTGACTGTCTTTACAGCTGTAATGAACAGCAGCATGAATTGAAATTCTGAAACCAAATGATGCTCAACACAGGATTGTTTATTGAGCACCAGGAGTTGATTTTATTTTCCAAAGTATAAATCCTTCCGTATTAGCCTACCAGGAAGTTGTGTGATTTGGAAAATCACAAAAGAAAACTTGAAGAGCAGGAAGGAGTGAGAAGAGTTTGTGAACACAAATGTTTACTGTTTGTAGATTCTACAGGTGCTATTGTCATTTTTTTCTTTTCCCTAGGATGATTCTGACAGCGCTGACGCAACAAGTAATTAACTTCTGTGACAGCAGAGCTGGGGAAGAAGCTGGGGCATCATCCAGTAGCTCCAAAAAGCTAGGGCCAGGGTCTTTGCCAGCTCTTCAGCTGTGGGGATCTGGGATCTCTGAACTTTCCTAGAAGCTCTTTCTTTTTAAAAAGTTTATTTGAGAGAGAGTGTGTGTACACACACATGTGAGCGGGGGTGGGGTGGGGGTGGGGAGCAGAGGAAGAGGAAAAGAAAATCCTAAAGCAGGCTCCCTGCTGAGCGTGAAGCCTGACATGGGCTCGGTCTCAGGACCCTGCTGAGATCATGATCAAGAGTCAATTGCTTAACCCACTAAGCCAACCAGGTGTCCCTTTTTTGAAGCTCTTTTTAAGGATCCTCTTCATATTTTATTTCTTCTTCCTAGGCACCTGAGGAAGAAGGTGCCTAGATGCATCAGATGGCAGGATAGGAGAGGAATAGACTGTTGGGGCTCCTTCCTTTCTCCCAGTTGGCTGTAATCCTTGTGTTTAGGCCACTCATCAGGGCTCTCTTGAGTATTTGAGCATGTGTGTACGTGGTAGAGCAAAAGTCAAAGAAGCAGCAGGTAGATTATAATAAATCTGTAAGAACGGTTTTCTGTCTTATTTCCTTCTTGCGCTTCTTCTACTTGAAGGCAAACCTTTTCTACCTCTATTGTTCCTCTCAAGGGGAGGGGTGGGTGTCACAGGTCCTGTCCTCATTGTTGAGATTGGAAGCAGAAAGATGTTGGAAGCAGGCTTGTAACAAGCTGGGGGATTTCCTCATATTCATATCAGTACTCCTGTTTCTCAGACCATAACCAGCCTTTTGCTATATTGCCACCCCTAGAACTGTGTATGTACTGCCATCCCTAGAACTAGCCGGAAACCCACCTCAGTTTTCTACATTCTTCAGAAATTTCTTTATATGTTCAAAGCTAATTGTTATATTAGTTAATAATGCCTTCGTCTGTTTACTCTTCTGTTTGTTAGCTACCCCATTCATCCATAAACATTTTTTGAGTGCCTTAAACAAAATGCCATACCCAGACTTTGCCCTTGGATTCATGGTAAAATACTGAGGTTTGTTTAAATAATTGAACTTTAAAGGTTATAATGGTAATATAGAGACATAGTTTAACAAAATAGTATAGAAGAGTATAGAATGTATTAAAGTTTTTTGGGAAGATTTTATTTATTTGAGAGAGAGAGCATGTGCATATGAATTGGGGGTGGAGGGGCAGAGGGAGAGGGAGAAGCAGACTTCCTGCTGAGCAGGGAGCCCAATGTGGGGCTGGGTCCCAGGACTGCAAGATAATGACCCAAGTGGAAGGCCAACTGATTGAGACACCCAGGTGCTCCGAAGGGTATAAAATTTAAAGTAGAATGTATGTTCCCTCAATAGAGGTAACCACTGTTAACAGTTTCTTTGATAAATTTCTATGTATATGTATATATACTCTACACATTATAAATTCCATTAATACCTATACCTTATATAATTATATTGTATTATATAGTTATCTAATATGTAAAGCAGGGGTGCCTGGGTGGCTCAGTCCATTAGGTGTCTGCCTTCGGCTCAGGTCATGATCCCAGGGTCCTGAGATTGAGTCCCACATCAGGCTCCCTGCTCAGCAGGGAGCCTGCTTTTCCTCTCCCTCTGCCCCTCCTTCCCGCTCATGCTCTCTCTTTCTCTCTCTTAAATAAATAAATGAAATCTTGAAAAAAAAATGGCTCAGGGTTGGTCCCAGGGGATATGGAGAGCTGGCAGCATGTCAGCAGAGCTGGGAGTCGGGTTCGCACTGGGGGCAGTGAAAGAGTAGGTGCAGTAGGTGGTGGCACAGCCGCTGTGGGATCTCTCAGCCATCCAACCCTGGCCAGTAGCAGTCAGCAAAACTAAATCTGCAGACATGGTGATTGAGGCCTCCAGTCATGACCAGGGGAGAACTATATTCAAGAACTGCTAAAACAAAACAAAACAAAAAAACAAAAAAACATCAAATCCTTAAATTCTGTTGTGTCCTGAGATCAAATCACATTTCATTCATTGGTCACCTACAGAAACAAAATGTCAACAAATTGATGGCTGTCCCCAATCTCTTCATGCTGAAAACAGAGGATTCTGTGAAGTTGGCAGACAGTGTGAACAGCTAGTGGTAGAAAAAAGGTTCTCCTGAAAAGTTAACAGTTATGGTCCAGGTTAACACCAGTGGAGAGCAGAGTAAATGTGGCCTTCTACCTTCAGAGACAGTAGCTGTAGTGGAACACATGAATGCCAAGTGCCCCAGCTTAGAATTCGTGGAGCTGATGACCATACGAAGCTTTGGATATGATCTCAGTCAAGGACCAAATGCGGACTTCCAGGTGTTACTATCTCTCCAAGAGGAGCTGTGTAAAAAGCTGAACCCTACTAAGCAGGTAGAGCTAAGTATGGGCATGTCCATGGACTTCCAACATGCAGTTGAAGCAGGATCTACCTCATCTGCTCAGTAGGGAACCAGCAGTGGCTCACGGCCGGTGGGCCCATCCAGGAAGATTAACCACACACTTCATTTTGATATCCCCTGTGTTACAGCACAACCATGCTCCTTGTGACCTGGAGAGAGTACGCCAATGCCTATATGTGTTGATAGAAACCATTTGTACTTAGGATCTGACATAAGAAGCTCACTTCAGGTAGTGGCTTTGGATTGGATTTCAGAAATCCAGACATTCCCACAGAACAGATATCAAATCAGTAGCCAGGAATTAAGTTTAGTTTTTTTTTTTTTTTTTTTTTTTTTAGGATTTTGTTTATTTATTCATGAGAGACATGAGAGAGAGACAGGCCAGAGACATAGGCAGAGGGAGAAGCAGGCTCCATGCAGGGAGTCCGATGTGGGACTCGATCCCGGGACTCCAGGATCATGACCTGAGCCAAAGGCAGACGCTTAACCACTGAGCCACCCAGGTGTTCCTGAATTTAGTTTTGAATCATGCCCAGGAACACCAACCACCCCATGAATGCCTTCCCCAGGTTAAAATGTGGCCACTGATGCCTATAATCACCAAAGTGAAAGCTCTGAGCTTTTCTCCCTTGGGCTCTCCTGTGATGAGAATTCAATGCTATGACTTCTTCTCTACCATAATCCTTTTAATAGTGATTTCTTACCAAAGACCAATGAATTTCATAGCTCCCCAGAAATTCCTTCAAGGCCAGTTCAGGTTCACAGTTTCAATGAGGTCTGGCTTTGAGACCTCAAAGGGAGGCTTTCCCATCCCTGCCAAACATTTTCCAGGCACATCTATATAGCCTCCCTTCCCCTGCTACATTGATAAGCCAGAATTTTGTAACTTCTTGATTGTTAATAAAGTAGCAAGATCTTCAAAAACCAGAAAGCACAATCCTCAGATATTCATAGTAGATGACTTTACTCTGCCTTATGTTCTAGATGTTTTTCTTTATTCAAGCCCCAGTCTTTAATTTCATGAAACAACTTTCAGAACCAGCTGCTGCTGAATGTAATTTTGTAAAACTTAAAACCATTATGATTACTGTTTCAATCAGAATTATAACATGATGTTTCAAAGTGTATTAAATAAAAATGTGCCTTTGAATTGTACCATCTAGGGACAACTGGGTGGCTCAGCGGTTGAGCATCTGTCTTCAGCTCAGTGTGTGATCCTGGGTCCGGGGATCAAGTCCCGCATCAGTTTCCCTGCAAGAAGTCTGCGTCTCCCCTCTGCTGTGTCTCTGCCTCTCTCTGTGTCTGTCATGAATAAATAAATAAAATCTTTAAAAAAATGAGTTGTACCATCTGTGCCAATTATGCCAATTACAAAGCAATTAAAAGATTTTTTTGTAAAAAAAAGTAAAGCAATATACAATACATATACATAGTTTTGTATATTACTTATATATAGTATATATTAAAATTTAATAAACATAAGCAAATGCAGTGTGTACACAATTGGAATCATACTACGTACATTTTGAGCCCTGCTTTTTTTTACTTAATATATTTTGGGTTTTTTTAAGGTTTTATTTATTTATTCATGAAAGATGCACAGAGAGAGAGAGGCAGAGACACAGGCAGAGGGAGAAGCAGGCTCCACGCAGGGAGCCTGATGCGGGACTCAATCCCAGACTCCAGGATCACACCATGGGCCGAAGGCAGGTGCTTAACCGCTGAGCCACCCAGGGATTCCCTTGGGGTTCTTTCCAAATTAGTATACACAGGTCTAAATCTTTTTCATGGCTACATGGTATTCAATTGAATATATTTTCCATAATTTTTAAAAAAGATTTATTTATTTATTCATGAGACACACACAGAGAGAGGCAGAGACACAGGCAGAGGGAGAAGCAGGCTCCACGCAGGGAGCCCGATGCGGGACTCAATCCCGGACTCCAGGATCACACCCTGAGCCAAAGGCAGGCGCTCAACTGCTGAGCCACCCAGGTGTCCCTATTTTCCATAATTTAACTGATTCCTTATTGAGGGACATTTAGATTGTTGGTGGTGATTTTTCCTTTTTTTTTTTAAACAGAATAAACCATTTATTAAAACACCGTGTAATAAAATAAACTTTTTGATCCAATGTTACAGTGGTAAACATTTTTCCCTCATTAACATTCCACCTAAAACACAGTTTAATTATAACATAATCTTACTAGAACTTGAAAATACTTCTGTTCTTTACCGCTCAATGATTGAAAAGTGGGTATAGATTTAGGTTTTCTTGATGAACCAAAGATTTTTCCTTTTTTTTTTTTCAATTTTCAAACAGTGCTGCAATGAACATTTAAATATGGTTACATATTTGGCAAAAATACCTGTAGGGTAGATTTCTAGAAGTGGAATTGCCAAGTGAAGGAGTAGATACATTTAAACATTTTGATAGCTGTTGCCAAGTTGCTCTTAGATGAAATTGGACAGCTTCCTGCGGCCACCAACAGAGTTCTCCATTCTCCAAAACTTTGTAGACATTTGTGAGGATAACAAATTGCACCTGATTTAATTTACTTTTAACTATGATTGTTCATTGTTTATTTTTTATCAGTGACTGATATTTCTTTTAAGGTGCTCTGTCCGTATCTTTTGCCCATTTTGCTGTTAACATTAGTTCTTAAACTTTAAACAAAATTGGAGAATACAAAGCTATATTCGTATTGTGCTTGACAATTTATGAAATTTTTCTAGTTATCTCATTAAAATTTTTTGAATTTTGGGACGCTTAGGTGGCTCAGTGGTTGAGCATTGGCCTTGGCTCAGGGCATGATCCAGGGGTCCTGGGACTGAATCCTGCATTAGGCTCCCTGCAGGGAGTCTGCTTCTCCCTCTGCCTGTGTCTCTTTCTTTGTGTCTCTCATGAATAAATAAATAAAATTAAGAAAAAAATTGAACCTCATATTAATCTTATAATCAGGTATTTTCTTCATAGGTGATTGAACAGGTCACAATAAGTGGCAGAGTTGGGACTTGAACTTTTATAGCATATGTCCCTCTTACCCACAGTTCTGAAAACCAAAAAGTTCTGAAAACCCACTTTAAAAAACTGACAGCAAAACTCATTTGGCAGCAAAACCTTACTTAAAATGATGTGGAGCTACTTCTAGTATGTTTATTCCAT